TCCTTGTCCAGCCTATACTTCCTGCCTGGCCACTGACCAATCAGTGATTTATTTATTGACCAATCAGCAACACATTTGACATATAGACCATCCCACAGCAGTTAGGTTTATTCCTAGATATTTTTTTCCTGAGGCTGTTGTGAATGGTATGTGTCCAAGATCTCATTTTCTGTTGTTGGTATAAAGAAGATCTAGTGATTTGTGCAAATTGATTCTGTATGCTGCCACATTGATGAATTTATTTATTTCTAGAAAATTTTTGAAAATTTTGGGATAGTTAATGTAAAATATCATATCATCTGCAAATAAAAATACTTGAGTTTCTCTCTTTTAAAAAAAAAAAAAAAAAAAAAAAAAGAATCTTCTCTGATGATATCTGAGAGTGTCACTAATGTATAGAAGGAGAGATATAAATTTGGAGGGTAGTTTAAAACTCTGTTTAGTAGAATAATAGTATTAGCTTTAATACTGGGGCCTCTGAGCTCTTCATGGGCTCATGGCCAGATTTTTAGCATCAGGCATGCATTTTCTACTGCAGAGCAGATTTTAAATGCAATCGGAAAGGGGTTGGCTACATCTATAAAATCTATGCCACTGTTGCACCCATGGTCATATACCATTCATTATTGTAGTTCACTGGGTTCAAAATGGATAAGTCTTTGGAGGAAGTCTTCTCCCAGCAGTCTGCATAATACATTTTTAATAGTATGAAATCTAGCCAACGAGTAGAAAGCTTCCTGATCACTACCAGCTCAATTTCTTCGTGTTTTATGGCCAATACCCATGGTATCTTCAGCAATCTGGTCTTATTATCAGGTTCTTGTGTTCAGCCAGGAGTCATGGTGACACTGGATTATTTTGGGAATCTTTGGGACACCTGTGACCAACAAATATAAGGGAGACATTTTCATTTTGCAACCTATGACCTCTGGAATGAAAATTATGTCCTGTGTCCTATGATAACCCTATTTATTTATTTATTTATTTATTTATTTATTTATTTATTTATTTATTTATGTATGTGTGTGTGCTTGAGAATATGAAACAGTAGGCTTCCCTGTGGGTTTTTCAAGCATCCTCACTGTTATTTATCTCTCCTTCAACCTGCCCTTTTGCCCTACCATCCCACTCCTCTCTCTACTTAGATCTCCCACACCACAATTATCCCTTTCCTCCTTTCATATCACAGTGTTCTACTAATTCCCACCCCTTAATGTCTTCTTTTACCCTATTTATTCTTTGAGAATTTAAAACAAGGTAGTGACATTAATTTGAATGATATACTGAGAAATTACTTTTTTTTTTTTTTGCTTTGTTTTTCAAGACAGGGTTTCTCTGTGTAGTTTTGGTACCTGTCTGTCCTGGATCTCGCTCTGTAGACCAGGCTGGCCTCGAACTCACAGAGATCCGCCTGGCTTTGCCTCCTGAGTGCTGGGATTAAAGGCATGCACCACCACCGCCCGGTGAGAAATTACTGTTTTTGAGATGTGAAAATCAGATGCAACAAGGAGAACAGAGAAACTGAAAATAGAAGACTCTTTTGATCGTGTGGCTTAAATCTGCAGGATCATAAAAAAGAAAAAGACCAAGAAAGAAAGGGATCAAGAACCACGCAGAGCTGATCCCAGGATAAAGTGAGGGATTGGATGTGGAGATAAGGAAGTAAAGGGGATTTGGAAGACCAGGCTGTCCCTGATCATTTCAAGGCCCTGGTGTAAATACCAACATAACATACAGTTAGAAATAAAACTATTATCCTTTATCAAATATACCTTATTCACCTTCCTTGAAAAGTATGGCTTTATAATGGCAGAGTAACCATAGTTATTAGTCTATGATTTTTACAATGATGTTTGCAAATTATCAGTGATTCTGAGTTTAATAACTATAGTACTACTACTGCCTTTTAAGAATTATTTCATAATTACAATGATTTCATAAGGGATTACAAACTAAAATTTAATTGTAATTCTACACAATGTAATATCTTTGCATCAAAATGGTAACTTTATGAAAGCAATTTATTTTTTCAGCTAATGAAACATTATCCAGGGAAAAATAATAAAAAAATTTATTAGTAAATTGAAACGTGAAAACTATAAGGAATATATTAATTGTAAATGCATTTTGAGCATCCAGTGTCCAACTTATTTGCCATTGTTATTGTTGCTATCATACATCATAAACAAAACAATGTGAATTATTAGTATCACTAAATGTTCTTAAGCTTCAATGAGTAGTCAGTGGAAATACAATATTAATTCTTTTTATTTTTTTAAAAAATATGCTTTTATTTTTTATAAATCTTATAACTGATCTTGATTCAGTTGTCAGGACTTCACTGAAAATATACATATAAAGGAATGCATATAGAGAAGAAAACTCAAAAATAAATCTTTTAAAAATCCAAATAAGGAACTCTATATAATGTGCACTACTTACAGATTTCTAAATGTATAAAAATATCTAGAATGGTAAGAAAACTAAAAACATTTTACTATCTATTGGAGAAATAGAAAATAAAATAACTGTGTGTGTGTGTGTGTAAGAAAATAGGCTATGTTATTTGTTAAAATTTGAAAAACAATTTAAATGTCGGGCACATTTGACCATCCAAACCTCATTCTTGAATACCTTCTTCTAGATCTACAAATCAGAACAAAACAGCACAAGAGAATAGATGCTATGCACTAATAAGAAATGATATTACATTATTACAACCATTCACTGTAGTCATACTAAGTAGAAGGATTTGAAAAGTTCATAAATTCGTATTTTAATTTAACTAAGCATGTCAACAACTTAAATTTTATTATCTTCTGCAAAATAAAGTCCCTCTGAAATTAATAGTGATATAATCTTTTTTCTTTCTAGTGATTCATAAATATCTCCCTTCTATGCCAAGTAAAGACACAGAATCTAAGGTGAGTTTTCATGAATCTTACAAGTCTCCAGATAAAAAGAAAAATTAGCAGTGCAGCTCAGTTTGCACAAGGGCTGAATTCCAGAGTCAAAGTTATAGGGCTTGCCTCTAATTTCCATAGTGAGAGGGAAGAGAGATAGATATAAAGATAGATAGAGATAGAGGGAATGAGATCTATCCAGATTTTGTTAAAAATCTATGTCTCAATGCAAGAGTCTTTTTTGACTAAGTTCAAGGTTGCTTGGAAGAAGACCATGACATTTTTCCACTAAGGGCCTAGAGCAACAGTTATTGTTAAGGAGAACAGTTCAGAAGAAAATGACAGGCTCTATTTGGGACAAGATAATATTCAGATGATGGTGGGCTATCCATTTTGAGAAACTTATTTGAAAAAAAAAATGAATTTTTATTATAGACAAGAGCTGTCAGCTTAATAGTCCCTAGACTAAAGGCAAAATTTTAAAGCATCTATCTTCACCTTTTATTTTCTGTTTTTCTTAAAAGAAAAATATGTTTATCATATTTCACTCTGAACTGATGTCTTCAGTCAGTGAGTGAAACAAATTAGAGACTAAATGGCCAATACCTTATGAATACCTCTTGTTTCCTCTGCTGTTGCTGCTGTTAACTGGACAGTCTCAGTGGCCCCAGAGACTTTCTTTGAATATCTTCGTCCTCATCTTGCAACAAATTTCAGATGTGATAGCAATGAAACTCTGAAAAACATTGAAAAGTATTTGTAGAAGGATGGCTTGAATGAAGTAGAGAAGTGACAGGTCAGGGTCCAGAAGTCTCAGTTTGTGCAAGTCATAGGATTTAAGATCTAGGATCAAAGACAGCTCTTTCTAGAGTAGCCTTCTGCTAATGTCCAGGAGATAACCATCTCTTGAGGAGAGAGTGTGTTACTGGCTGAGTAAGGCCTCTGTACTACGGTGTGGACATCCTGTCTGGTCTTTTGAAAGCTCACAAACATTTCACTCAAACAGATCTTAGAAAAGAAACTTGGCAGAGTCTACTAGGTTGAACTCAATTCCCAGGGGAGTCTTTGCCCTGGAGGAGATGGGAATGGGGGATGGGCTGGGGGGAAGGCGGGGGTGGGGTGGAGGGGGGGAGGACAAGGGAATCCATGGCTGATAGGTAAAATTAAATTTAATTATAAAAAATATTTTCAATAAAAGGAAAGTAGAAAGAGTGAAAACAAAAACAAAAAAAAGAAACAGATTTCTGCAGAAAAATCTCATTGTAAAATGAGAGAGATGGGGAGAGAGGGGAAGAGAGGTGAGAAGCGAGGTGGGCAGGAGCAGAGAGAGGGGGAAATTGAGGAGGGAGACAGAAGGAATAAGGAGGGTCTAGGAAAGGGAATGTCTAAATACCGGGGAAGGAGAAATAGGAGGGGTGCAGAGAATCACTTGTCATCTAAGAGGTGTTTTTTTTTCTAGCAGTTTGCAGACTGTATATACAATTTTATGTTCAAAATATGCCATTTGGTCCTCCTTCTAAACATGCTTCTCTCCACCCCATGGCTCCAGTGCACACATACATACCTCTTTAAGACTGAGAGAAGTACTTGCTTTTTCCTTTGATAAGTATCTGGGACTCTTTTTTCTTTGTTTGTTTTCTTAATCTGTTTCACACCAAATAAGAGCAGTTAAATATCTTCGTTTTGAACATTAAGACAGGAGGTCCAAATAAACCTGTGAATGAGCAATCACAGATGTGTGAGCCAAACAAAGCAAAAGAATTTCCATAGAAGGTAATGAAGGTAAATATTTAAGTGTCTTAGAAGTTTGTGTGGTCATATTAAGAAATCATCAAGAAAAGAAAGAAAGGAAGGAAGGAAGGAAGGAAGGAAGGAAGGAAGGAAGGAAAGAAGAAAGGAAGGAAGGAAGGGGAAGGAAGGAGAGAGAGAGAAAGAAAAGGAAGGAAGGAAGAAAAAAGAAAGAGAGAAAGAAAGAAAGAAAGAACGAAAGAAAGAAAGAAAGAAAGAAAGAAAGAAAGAAAGAAAGAAAGAAAGAAAGAAAGAAAAGGTTAAAAATAAATGACTTAAAATTGGTATTCAGTAACACAAAGACAAGAAATGGATCAGGGACAGAAGAAAGACTGAATTGGTGATTATTTGTAGAAATGTATTCAGAAGGTATTTAGATGCTTTCATCAAATTCTCTTTATTGCATTCATTTGTTTTATATAGAACTAGACAATTCAGTCAATATAACAGATTAGAATACTGCTTATCAGTCAGTTGTTTTTTGTATGAACATAGCAGAGTGTATGTCCTCATCTTTCTAAAGTAGAAGATAATAGTATGGGATATGAAAGTAATGGCAGTGAAATTTAGACTATTTTTTCAAGATTTCTTGAGTAGACCTCTTGTTCACAAACATAATTATTAAATATATCTAGAAAATAATTTTATATGGTCTCCCCTATTCTCTAATACATCTTTTTTGATGGACTAGCAACCCCCAAATTCTATTACTGCCTACTGGAGTAATGACTATTCCTATCAAATCTCCTAATATAAAATATTAATAGCATCATACCTTAATATTTTAAAGGGAATAAGTCAATATCTAAAAAAAAAATCAAACATCATTATAACAATGCCTACATTAGACTTGATTAATAAAACATAGATGAACTAATGGAGAGCTCCAGTTTAAATGCTTAGAAGAAAGTGGTTTAGTTTAATGGAAATCATACATCTTTTGTAATGCTCCATACAAGAATATGTTCTGATAGTATCTTTGTTGACTAGTAGCTGAGTCATGACAACTTTATTATAATTTTCCATGTGAGATATATGCTTAGGAATGTAATATTTCAGGAAAATTAGGCACTATAACAAAATTAAAATCTACAGTTTGTGAAATATATACAGGATACCACATTGCTCTAGTGTGCAGACATAGTTGAAAGACTGCACACAAGAGTTCTTATCAGACCTTTACAAGCCATTCAAATTTAATGAAAAACCAATTCTATTTGTTCTTCTAAAATGAGTATTGATTTTATATTCATGGCAGTTAAAATTATCATCAAACTTAGTTCTAAAGAAAAACATCTGCCTTCAAGTAAAAATCACTTCCATATTATTTAACTTGGGCACTAGATCAAAACTTTTTTCATCACCTAAGTAACAAAAGTTGGATCATTTCTTTAATTTTTTTTTGAGATTGTAATATGATTACAACATTTCTCCCTTCTCCTTCCTCCCTCCGAACACTCTAGTTTACTCCTTCCCACTCTCCTTCAAATTAATGGTCCCCCTTTTCACTAATTGTTATTACATGTATACATGCATAAATGTATACACATCCATTCCTAGACATACTTGCTCAATCCATATACTATTACTTGTGTTATGTTTTCAGACTTGATTGTTTGCCACTGGACATCTAATTGGTATGCTCTTCCCTGGGGAAGACCACCTCTCCTGCTTCTAGCTGTTCTCAATTGCCTATAGTTCTTTGTGTAGGGTTGAGGACTCTTGTGTTTTCTTCCATGAACTTTGATGTGTCCATTGGTATCCTTGTTTGGCTCACATTTAGGCAGTTATGCTGGTGAGACTTACGGGTTTAACTTTTGATATTACTAGAAGACACACTCTTATAGTAAACTCTCAGATCTTACAATTTTCCACCCCATCTTCTGCAATGTTTTCTGAGCTTTATGTGTGTGAGTGTTTTGTAGATATATCTGTTGGTACTGGGCTCCACCACTCTGCATTTTTTATTGGTTGCATTTTTCTGTAGTAATTTCTGTCTGTTATAAAGAGAATTCTCTGTGATGAGGAGTGAACATGACACTTATCTGTGGGTGTAAAGACAGATATAGATTGTCTTTAGAGGTTATGCTGGTTTATTATATTAGTCCAATAACCATGACTTTACTAGTACTGAATAGTTCTGGGTTTCCAGTACCAGACACAGTTTAGTTTCACTCTTGTCTTCAAGTATGAAGTCCAATTAGAGAGCTGTTTGTTACCACCAAAGTATGCATGACATGACTGCACTCTCAGAGTTACTATGCTATGCTGGTTATTGATGTGGTTCATAGGTATCATAGCTGGGTGGGACTTAGGCTGCCTCCCTCCTTTAGAATCTCTCCTGGCACCTTCTGGTAGACCAGTTTTTGAAATCCAAGAGGCCACTGAAATTCACAGGTAGAATCTGAAATGTGCAAATCACTTGATTGGAATAATACAAAGGAAGTCAGGTATAAAACAAAGCCATGCTCTATGAGGAGATTGAAAGAACATTAAACTTTCTGCAAAGACAGAACACTGGAACTTTTGGAGAGTCTGGTTTTCCCCACAATGGACTGATAATTTCCCCATCCAAAGACATTAAAAAGAAGGTGATGGCCCCAGCGCAATACAGAGAACATAAATAAGAAGTAGCACAATTGTTTGTCTATGTCCAAGATATGGAAACTGAAAGCCAGAGTAACTCACAAAGCTGGTACAAGTAATTTATTGTAACAGGAGGAAACAGTAATTTTTTCTTACTTTGGGTTCATCTTTCAATGGCACCATAATGCTGATACTGCCAAGATATTTCTAACTGAGGAATTTACTATGTATTTTTTTTTTCAGTCACTGTTATACAAGACAAAAGAAGATATATATTTTTCTCCCTTTGCTTCTATCAGGACAGCTAGAGTTTTGACTTTCTAAGTTCTTCTTAGCATGGAGAAGGTCTGATAATTTAGTCACTTGTTTATGTATACACCATAAGATAAGTAATAGTATGAGTATTATTTTGAAGCAAAAGTTCATCAACAAATGTGACTGAAAGTTTACTAGAGAAATTGTGTCCAAAGAACTATAACATGGACTGTTTCTGAAGTTTTAAACATTTTCATTTTCATATTTTAAAAAAAAAGAATGAAAATAACTTTAGCAATGGATTTTGGTATGTATTTGTCATATACAAAATGTTATGTTTCAACATGGAAAACAATACAGAGTCCCTAAGTTCCTGTTTTCATAGGAAGTATTTGATATGCAATATATATCTTATACTTAGAGATTCCTGATGCATACTGGTCACCTTGCATGTGCTCAGTGGCTGCATAAATTGGACAAGTCCAACGAGCGCAAAGGTGTAAGATGAGGCGGAAAGAGGACAATGGATATAGTCTGATCTGGATAAAAGATGAGACTCTAAACCTAAGAGGATGAGGGTGGCCAGAATAATTGCTCTGCTCCTGTTAGCTCTGTGATATGGGGAGATACCAGTGACATGTGGCTACAAAAGGCCAGTGGAAGTTGAGCTTTAGATATGGTGTCTGAGAGTAGGGATAATTCTATTGTTTAATGACATAAGGTTTAAGAATTTGAGGAGTATCCTTGAGACTCTTTTAAGTGTAAATATATATACATATTTATATATATACATATACATATTTACATATATATGTATATATATATTCAGAATTTATGAACCCATGTTTAAGCAGCTGCAAACTTTAAGATTGTCTCCTTGTGTTCCTGATATGAAGTAGGTCTCTGTATTTTCCCCTTTGTTTATGTTTTTAAAATAATATTTCAAAAAATCTGGAGAAATCTTTTTCTCTTGCTTTTAAAGTAAATGTATTATCTGAGAATTCTCTTTGTGTATACCTTAAAAATGTTAAGGCACAGAAATGGAGTCCCCCAAAGGCTTGTACATCCTGTCATCCTGATCAATGAGAGTCTCTAAATCAGAATAATTTCACTTAAAGTGATATTTTTATACCTAATTGTTTTTCAATTAAGCAACACCTGTTCTGTAAGTAGTTACTTGTATCTACTTATGAAATCACCTAAGTACAGTGGTGACTACTCAATACTGCCACTCTAGAAGCTGCCACTCATGGCTCGCTGTGATGGGGCCCAACTCTAAAAGCTGCCTGTTGTGACTCATTGTGGTGGGGCTTGACTTTTCTCTACCTTGCTTGGCTTTATTTACATTAAGACAAATGTTGGAGAACATTGTTTATACCTATGGAGCCAGAAATTTCATTAAGACTTCCTATTAAGACTTTCAAGAAACTGTTACAATTTTCTTCTACACTCAAGTAAATAATTTGATTGTTTGAGAATGAATATAGATGCTATATAAAGATATTTATATGATACAAAATGCTTTACTAAGTTTGCATACTGTATAAAGTACATCTGTGAGGATGGAGAAATGACGCTTAGGGTAGATGATACAATATCAAACAGTGTAGTTGGAAGTTGTCCTGTGTCCCAGCTGGCTGGCAGTTGGGACAATTCTCTCCCATCTGCTTCCCCCAAGTAAACACACAGAGGCTTGTATTAATTATAACAGCTCAGCCATTAGCTCAGGCTTATTACTGACTAGGTCTTACACTTAATTTAACCCATAATTCTTATTTATGTTTAGCCATGTGGCTTAGTACCTTTTCTCAGTTCTGCTTTGTCATTTTGCCTCCTCTGTGTCTGGCTGGCGACTCCTGACTTAGCCTTCCTCTTCCCAGAATTCTCCTAGTTGCTCGCCCCACCTATACTTCCTGCCTGGCTACTGGCCAATCAGTGTTTATTAAGTCAGTTTACAAGAGCATTATCCCACAGCAAAGCAGTCTTAATTCTATGTGTTAACTGAAGTTTTGATAATCAGATCTTTGTGAATAAATAATTCAGTGCTAAATTTCAAGTGAGCTAATGTTGGCTAGCAATGCCTACCATGGGTTTAGGGGATAGTCTAGTATGAGTAGTATGTTTATTCATTTTTTTCATATGTTTTAACAATCATGAATCTGTATCCTTGCAGAAATAATGATGAGAGAATTAGATACACCTTAAGCTTGTTAATGGCTTATGTGTCTTTTCAGATCAAATCACTGCCCAAAGATCCTTTGTAAAATCAGAAAGTGATAGAAACAATTAAGTGGTGATGTGGTATTAATAAATGAGCCTGGGCTTTAGAATTACTTTGATATAAGGCTTTAGAATTTCTTTGATATAAGTCCTATGTTGCACCCTTGGATATATATCTTTGGGAAAATCAATTTTGTCTTCTATAAAATAGGTATAAGAATAATACTTATTTCACAGCAGTATGATGAGGCTGTCTAACACATAAAGGATGTAACATATGTTGCTCTTAATCAAGTATGCTTTAGATCTGTTATGCAATGGTAAGGGCAAGGACCTTGGCTTACATCCCTTGTATGTATCTAGCTTAACTGATCAGTAGATATCAAGATAAATTAAAGATATTTATAATGGAATTTTGACTTTTGCTGTTGTGGTCCTCAATGCAAAAGATAAACTCACTCTCTTTTTAAGTGAGAGTTAAATTTAGCTTTCTTTAAAGATAGATGAAGACCTCCATGGTGTCTTAAGTTGTTTCCAGCTCTTTCCCTCTGCCCTTCCTAGATATAAAGGCGAAAAGAAAAGGCTTGGCCACGGCAGCTTCTAGCAGAAATCCATTGGTAGTCACTGTGCAGTTGTTGTAAAATACAGCTTAGTATTTTATGGCAGCTTCATCCACTTTGCCTTTCATCTCTGCATCTGTGAAAAAATAGTGACAACAGGGAAAACATTCTAAATCAAACATATGGAGTGCTGGAGACTGCAGCCAAATCCTGTTCTTACCAAACTGTTATGGAGAAACAGTGAAATCTCAAGCCTGGTTTTGAATAGTAGATGGTTATAATACACTCAGGCAGTGACTGCCTCAGTTAAAAAGTATGTTTAAAATACTCCCCAGAAACAGATGCAGAGACCCATGGCCAAACATTAGGCAGACCTTTGGAGTCTCCCTCTGTGGAAGACAGGGAAGAAGGATTATGGGAGACAAAGGGGCCAAGAACACCACAAGGAAACCCACAGAATCAGCTAACCTAGGATCACAGGGGCTTACAGAGACTGAACTGCCAACCAGAGGGCTTGCATGAGACTGACCTGGGCACTCTACATTTATATTATGCACATTTGTGTCGCCTAGTCTTCTTGTGGGACTCCTAGCAGTGGGAACAGGGGTTGTCTCTGACTCTGTTACTTGCTTTTGGGACCCCTTCCTCCTACAGAGTTGCCTCTTCCAGCCTTAATATGCCATGGTTGGCTCATATACATGGGATGCCTGCCCTTTTCTGAAGAGAAAGGAGGAAGAGTGGATGGGGGTGGGGGATTGGACAGGTTGGGAGGAGGGACAGGGAAGAGAGGAGGGAAGAGAAACTGTGATCAGGCTGGAAAAAAATAATTTAAAAAATACTCTCCAGAATATAAACAATGACCACATGAATTAACTTTTGAAAATTTCATTAATGTTAAAAAATACCTTCTTGTAAATCCTTTCTTATACAAACACTACACATACAAAACCAACATACGTATACAAGAGAATATTTGAACAGAAATGATGATCTATGGATTTCAAGTGCAAGAATCTCATATTAAAATTTTAAATTAAATAATTTATAGCATAAATATTATTTGTCACAATTTTGCATTTCATTCCATGCTTTGCTTCATGATCAGTTAATGAGATAAAGAATGGAGCTCATGAAGCACTATGAACACAAACACTGGATTGTTGTGTAATGATGATTGTGCTATATATTTTTGGTTGTGAGCCTAGCCTTTAATGGCTGAGCCATCTCTCCAGCCCTGATTGTGCTATATATATATATCTGTGTAAGAGTCCAGTCACATAGACTGTGATGGAAAAGGCACACACATGTACAACATGCATGACCATAGCATCAAAAAGTTATTGCATCAAACTATGGTGTCTTTGTACTGCTCCATTACCTACTAGGTATAACATGTAATCTTTCCACTAGAATAATGTCTTTCAAATATTAGCTCATTGTAATTATGGAAAAGGTACTGGAGCAAAGATTCAAATATGGAAGGGGTGAGAAATAGAAAAATGAGGGGTGGGGGAAGGCTTAAGCAAAAAGACATATGAAAAAGCTATTCATGGCCTATGATCTAGCAACCAAAGTAAAAATATAATCAGCAGAAGTGGTGAATCATAAATGGCATGAATAGGGTGAGTACTCTGAGTAAAAAGTTTGAGGAAGAAACAGAGTGATGGGGGTGAGTAAAAATAAGCATGGTTGATGAAGCATTGTGGAAATCCACCTACTTATAAGGTAATTAAAATCATAATATATATTAAAAAGGAGTTTGGGCAGAAGTACCAACAATGGATGGACAGAGCTGCTTTCCGAAGACATGTCTGATAACAGAAAACCTCAGTGTCAGGCAGTGCATACATCCAGAGAGTTATGAGAACCATCAGCAGTACTAGAGAGAACACAGACTATTCTGTTGTTCTTGACTGCCAGCATAACTAGGCAATACTCTACTGCTGAAGAAACATTCATGTTGGGATACAGGACATAAAGAAATCAAACTCAACCATCAGGCAACTTCCTTCCTGCTTTCTTACATAGTGTCTGAATGTTCGATGCAGTCTTCTCAGGAAGAAAGCACATCATTGATCACACCAAGCTTGAAATTCTGCATTCTATAAAACCAACCCATCTGGTAGGGCCAAATGGTATAATGGTGACATTATGGTTATTGAGGTAATCAGCCACTTTCTAACTGGATATTAAGCCTGCTCAATGCTCCTGGTCAAAAGTCCAAGACTGGGAAGATAATAGGCCCTAGAAAGGAGCTTATTGCTTTTGTTATGTTTAATGGTCATTCAGTCAACTGCCTTATAAATATTTATGTTTTTGCATGTAGATTTGTGTTGCTCTTGTCTTTGGTCAGAGAAGCTTCTCTTTGTAGTGGGTAGCAGTTAATTTGTATCTGGGCAAAGTGTCAAGTATAAGTGAGTGAGTGCTCAGTTATGAATAAATAAATCATCTACATTAATCTTCCTCCATTTAAGGCTCAGGTAGTATCTAGGAAGAGTGTATAACAGTATTTAACTAGGCAATTCCACGTAATTTATCTGGTAATCAAGAGAGGTTTATTTCTGGGATAACTTACAGCCAATAGGGGTTGGTTACAGGATACGGGAGTGATGAGGTACCATCCAGCAGAGAACTCTGGCTTCATCTTCCATCCAGCTTCCAAGACCAGAGGTATCCAGAAGGGGCAAACACATACACACCTCAAGTCTTAAAGGGCTCCCCCTCAGCCACGCCCCAGGGGCAGGTCCTAGGCATGTGTGGCAGTTACCTGAAAATTAAGCAGGGCCTTCAGAGAAATAACAGCACATATTTGACATATATTATTATAATCACACACATATACAGTTATATGTATATTAGATTTGACATATAAAACAACTACTTCTACTTCCAAATTCAAGAGAAATTGAGAATTAAAAAATATTAATATTCACTATTTTAAGAAAAGTATACCAAGTGATATAACTAAAAAGTTTTCTTTTAGAGGAAAAAATACCAAAACCAAACAGAAACAAACAGCAAAATGATGTACTGTTTATCACAGATTTTTACTGCTTACTATTTTTGCAGCTTAGTTAAATATAGTTAATTATATTTTTCAAATATGTAGCAACTAGAATAAAATATACTAAGACAGAAAATTCTAGAAACAAAACAGTAATAAAAGGCATAGTAATAAAAGTCCTGAATCTCTCATTCTGGTGGCTAAGATGTAGGATCTCTGTGAGTTTACAGTCAGCCTTGTCTACATACAGTTTCAGGCCAGCCAGGTCTACATAGTGAAATGCTATCTCAAAACGAATGAACGAATAAATAATAAACACCAAACTATAAAAAGGATGATGTAATTGAGAGTATTATTCCTGTCTCTTTCCAGTCCTTTGATTGGTCATGCTGGCTTTCAGAAACATCTTCTGAAGCGGCTCTATAGGGAATGGATACAAAACTAGAGATCCACAAAGGCTGAAGTACTGGTCCTTAGAAAGCTGAGGACTTGGGTAGCGCCAGGTTCCATAATCTGTCTTCCTTTCACTCCTGTTTTGGTATGTCATTCTTTCATATTCAGATTCCAAGTTGTTCAGATAGAGATCTAATAGTTTATCTAGCCAATGTCTTATAGATTGTTTAATCATCTCTAGGCAGATGCTATATTAGAACACATACGGAACTTGATTTGAAATACAAGGACGCAGTGGCTGTTATAGACAAATGCATTTTTATAGCATTCTCAGAGGAGGACAGATTGGCTAAGCCATAAGATTATAAGTAAAGCTTGTGGTTTATATGCTGATGTAGAGACTCTACATTAAGTGAAAATACTAAAGGGAAATAAATGTTCTCTTGAGAATAAGATTAAAGTTTATAAATTAATGATATCATAACTATCTGAAAAGCAAAGTACAGAATCCTTTGAGGCAGCAAAATGTTCCATATGGCGAAGTCCTATTTCCCATGGAGGGAGATAGACAAGACTTTTCTACAGTATTCAAGCCAGAAGTCCCTCGGTGTTTGTGATGGATAGCTAATTTAATCAACCTATGATATTTTATTGTAACTTTAGTAATTCTTCTATTGGTTAGAGAATTTAATAATTGTGTTCTCAGATATTAATAATATCTAATTTGTCCAGCCATAGAATTCCCCATTAATGCTTTAATATTTAATATATAGTTTATATAGTTGTAAATGCCTAGATTTTCATATTTTGAGATTGTACTTGTGGTTCTTAAATAAGGCCTGGGTCTAGGTGTTATGGGCACAGTAGAAAATGAAACTGAAAAATATTATCTTTATATATTACATATCTGTTAATATTTGATAAAACATGCTTGAAACCATACATGTCATGGAATATTCAAGTCATTTATAAAAATTATAGTGAAAGGAATAGGACATATTTTTAGAGAAGAAATCACATTATCTGGGAAGAGTTCTATTAGAAACTAATGTTTCATATACATTTGAAGAAGATGAAATTTCATGCCATTCAATTATGTAGGGCAAGCTAATTCTTGGTCTAAAGATTAAGATTTTGACAGTGGACATACTGAAGAAAGGAAGTATGTTCTGTATGTTCCAGAAACTTCAGTCAACAAAACAGGAAGTCTTGCTCTTCAGGACATGTTTCTTAGCTCCTGCCCTGCTGTGTTTATGTTGGACACTGAGTGAGAGTAGAGAGACCCTTTGCGATTCTTACACTGAGTGAGAGTCTTCTATGGTTGAAAAAAATCATCCATAAACTGAACTATCACCTTTATTCTATGTTAAAAATATAAAGGCAATCATATAGGATTAACTTAGTAAAGGTTAAATTTTTGAGTATTGTACTGATCTAGAATGAGTTCAAATACAGGCTTTATACATTCTTTAGAATTATTAACATCTTGAAGAAATTTCTTTTTATAGATGTTGTCTATATTAAACTTATTAGACAAATGTACTTCTATACATTTCAGAATGATATGACACCTGACAAATACTAAGATGTATAATAAAACTGCAGCACGTCTACCTTCCACAAAATTCCTTCCACTGTTTTCAATCTCAGCAAATCACATCAGTTTTCACCATTTTACATAACCCAGACACAGGCACTCACTATGATTACCTATACTCAAAAGGTCTCCATCATCCATAAATCCAGATTTTGGATTTATGGGATTTATGCCTGCAGTAAATTTGTTCCCATCTCTCTATCCCACCTTCCTGGTTTACTCTTCAGCATTATTCTCTCATGTGGACTCCCATGGTATTCCCTAAATAATTCCTCTCTTATTCTCCTTCTCCACAGCCTCTACTCCCCCCGACTGGCTTCCCATCAGACTTCAAATCCTAAATGTCCACATGGTCTAGTTCTCCCACTTCTCAGACATCTGCTCATAAATCCTTCTCACTGGCTAATAATGTTTTAGTTTTACTATCTTTTTCTAAATTTGTTAAATCTTTCCCTCCCCTATGGCCTTGGTAGTAGCCTTATGTTATGCTTGGAATTTTCCTCCCAATCCTTCCATTGACTCTTCAGCTTTTTTCATTAAGAATTTCACACACACATAAATACACTCACTGAAATCTGTTTTTGTTAGCAGTGTCCATATGGTTTCAAGTCTGACCAAGATGTATTGGGCAACTAATAAGAGGGCTCATTCTTCCAATATGAGACTAAGTATCCTTTTCCCTGTCATTCTCTGTGTAGGGGTGGGACGCAGAAAAAAAATCTCCCTTGCATGTTAACATGTCCATTGATAGTGCCGTCATTCTAGTTTTGTTTATGCAGCCATTTCTAGAAAGAGCAAGCTGTTTCAGAGCCGATTTCCTGTTATTCTGGCTCTTACACTCTTTTCACCCTCTCTGCTGTGATGTACCCTGAGCAATAGATGCAGAAGGTATGAATAGATGTGGGAGTCTGGGCTCCCCACAATTGACAGATCTCTGTGGTTTTCTGTGATATTCTCCATTGGCTCTAAATACAGCCTTCTTTGATGGGGGTGGGGGTGGTAGCTACACTTATCTTTGAATATAAAACTTAATAAAAATTTTGTATTAATATATACATAAATCTTTGCAATTTAGAATATAGTAAAGAATTATACTAGTCTAGCAAGTTGGCTATAGTGAATTATTTTCTAATCTATGACTTCATTAGCCTCAGGAAGCAGGCTAGAATTCCACTGTCAGGCATGATTTCCCTTACGCTGAGTGGGCCTCAAGTCCAATTTGAGAGCTTTTGGTTGCCACTGACATGTGAGTGCTACTTAGCACACCTTTATGCAATTACCATGTTGGCAATGGAAGGATAGCTGGGTTGGGCCTGGAGAGAGGAAAGAGAGGAGGGAAAGTGATGTAATTATATTTAAATTTTAAATATACTAAAAAAAGGATTTTTACATAAATATCCCGTTCACAAATACATCTCTCCTCCTTCTAACCAAGAATAGCAAAGCAGTCATTCTTTTTCACATTGATCTTCTAATTTTAATTACTTTTTTCTTCACATATTATTAACTGTTGTATAGATAACTAAACATTAAGACATTTGAAGATCATTGGGGATGGACCCCTTTGTGATAATGGGTAAAACAAGGACCTAAAATAGCCTGATGGATTTGAAGTCTAAAGAACAGGATCTGGATCATAGCTTTTGTACTGGGTGCAGAAAAGAGGTTCTAAATTGGCTGAAAGGCCATGAATAGAAAATTATCTAAAACTTGTAAAATAATTATCTAGTTGGAGGCTTTCGGGTAACAAGCACGGCATATCATTCCTCCTTTCCTCAAGCATTAATCCACATGGTCAGTGAATCACCTGGAAAGGAAAATGCCCCCAGGAAAAGCTGTTTGTTAAGAACAGTAAAAAGGCTGCTTTCACGTTCGGTGCAGTAGTTCCTCTGGCCATTGCCCACTCTAACCCCTTGAAAGTGTTCAGTTTACTGTGCAATAAATCTTGCCCGTCTTCTACATTTATGCTTTCTGTATCCCTAAGAATTCTTTTCACAGAGATCACAATAAATGAGGAGCCAACAGGAGGCTAGAGCAAGCACCCAGATATATTAACCAGTTTGTACTACCTAAGTGTCCATTGTCAATCCCCTTAATAAAATATAAATTCCTTGAATAGGAGTTTCATGTGAGCCTTAATTATTGCCCCATCTGCAGTGCTAACATATAGACAAGTAATACTACATTGTAATAAACTTTATAAAATATATTTTATTTAGTTACAGTATTTTTGATACCTGGTATAGTTTGCTTCTAAGGCAAATGAGAAGCAACTTTCAAGCAAACCAGATGAACAGATTGCCTCTCCAAAGCATCGTAATGATAACCTCATTGATGTGTTACAGTAAGTACAGTATATTCATTAAAACTCTGGGATATATATTCTGTACTCAGTTCAAATATTCAAGTTTATATGCCTCCCTTTGCATTCCTCTTTACCCATATAGTAACAGTACTTTCCAAAAAGTGTTGTAATCATAGTCATTTTCTTCATTTTGCATATAGGAATAGACTTATTTGGAGTAGAATCATTTATATTTCCTGCTCGGGATCAGAGATAGACAATCAATTGAAATCTTAAGGTGGAGTTACTAAAAATGATATAGCATTTCTGCTTGATTTCAGATCCTGAGTTACCTTATTTAGTAAACCTTATTTAGGTATGGTCTGAGGAACCCAATCTTGCCAACTTAAAAAAATCTGACAGTTTAGAAGATTACCCATCAGGAACCCAGAATTCTGTTTAGAGAAGACTAAATTCATTACTACCCAT